GTGATTTATATTTTATTTTTTAAAATTTTTATTGAATCAAAATCGATTATTCATATTTTGGGGGTTCAACATTGAGATATGTTGATCAAATCAATATTACTAGTATATATATTGTTACAAATGGTAATTATTCTTTATGCCCCTTGTCTAATCTCTCCCCATCCCCCTCCCCCTCTCTCTAATTACCCTAGATTTCTCCTCTCCTTCTGAAAGAATTATGGTTACTCTGTTGATTTGTTGCCTAGATGATCTGTCCAGTGCTGAGAGGTGTGATCAGGTCCCCCAATATTATCATAGAGCAGATGCTTCTTCTGTCACTCTGACACAGGCTTTGTTGAGAGAGACATCCTCTTCTTTTCTTTGTCTTTACTGGTGACTCTCCTTGTGTCAACACACTCCAGTGGCTGGCGGACCATCTGTGTGGTGGGTGTGGCATTGAGCTGCTTTCACAGCAGCCATGGTTATTGTGGTGACTGTGGTGGGCCACCTACATGGAGGTGATGCTTTTGGCATGCTCCTTGGCACTGGTGATGTGCCTGGTTGTGAGGAGTGTCTGGTCCCTGGCTCCAAGCCTCAGGTCCCTGGGCAGGCCCCATGGCACTAGCATGGTGTGCCTGGTTGTGGGAGGGGGTCCGGTCCCCTTCTCCATGCCTTGGGTCACCGGGCGGGCCCTGAGGTGCTGGAGCGGTACCTGGTTGTGTGAGGGTGGTCTGGTCCCCAGGTCCGTGGGCAGGCCCCGAGGCACTGGCATGGTGTGCCTGGTTGTCAGAGGGAGGTCTGGTCCCCTTCTCCATGCCTTGGGTCCCCGGGCGAGCACAGAGGCACTGGCATGATGTGCCTGGTTGTCAGAGGGAGGTCTGGTCCCCTTCTCCATGCCTTGGGTCCCCAGGCGAGCACAGAGGCCCTGGCATGATGTGCCTGGTTGTGGGAGGGGGGTCCAGTCCCCTTCTCCATGCCTTGGGACCCTGGCAGGACCCAAGGCACTGGTGCGGTGTGCCCGGTTGTAGGACAAAGGGCTGGTCCCCTTTTCCATGCCTTGGGTCCCCAGGCGGGCCCTGTGGCGCTGGCACAGTGTCCCTGGTTGTGGGAGGGGGATCTGGTCCCCAGCTCCATACCTTGGGTTCCTGGGCAGGTCCTGAGGCGTTGACAGTGTGCCTGGATGTGGGAGTGGGGTCTGGTCCCCAGCTTCAAGCCTCCAGTTCCTGGACAGGCCCCAAGGCGCTGGTGCTGTGAGTGGTTATGGGCTGGGGTCCTGTTCCCGGCTCCATGCCTCATGTCGCCTGGTGGGCCCCAAGGTGCTGGTGGTATGCCTGTACTGGAACTAATTTTTTGTCCTTTGTTTACTTCTAACACAGGGGAACTTGCTGTGGGAACCAGTACTTGGGCTGTGTGGTTGAGCTAAATTGCTGCTTTGCTGCTGTTTCCCTAGGGAAAGGTTTTTGTGAAGCTCAGGGTTTAATGGTTGACCTTATAGGTACTTCCAGCTTTCCAGAGACTTGGTGCACCTGGGTTGTGTAGAAACTCTGATCTGGGCCTGAGTTTTTTCATCAAACTGCACCCCATGCAATTCTGCATTCCCAACCAGTCTCCTCTGAGTGGTCCTGCGCTGACTGGGGGGGAGGATCAGCTGTCTTTGCTGTGTCCTAGTGTTCTCCCAGTGGGCCTGTCTCTCCCACCACCCATGCTCCAAACACTTCCCATGGACGGGCCCTGCACTGGTCCCTTGCAATGACTCACCGGCCTCTGAATAGTTCCCCTTTTCCAGCTGTTCTGGCTCCTCGCTCCTGCATGGGTCCACGGGAACCCTGTCAGTGGTCTTGCTGTCCTGGGGGCCATCAAAGTTCTCTTCTTCCCTTCCGCTTCCAAGTAATCCCATCTAAA